TGCTAATATTTATTCTAGTCCCCTTCTCATGTGGACGGAGTGACTTGATAATGCAGTTTATCAACCTCAGCACTACTGACATTTGGAGCAGGATAATTCCTGGTTGCCGGGGCTGTCCTATGCATTGTAGGATGTTTAGAAGCAGCCCTGGCATCTACCCACTAGAGGCCACTAGTACTCCCGCCAAGTTTTGACAACCAAAAATAGCTCTAGAAATTGCCAAATGCCCCAGATGGGCAAAATCATCCAGTTGACAACCACTGAGCTAATGGAATGTTAGCTGATGGAAGAAGGGTAGAGGTCTTACACGTGTTTAAGCAATTTGGCTTGGCTTGGCTCTGACACTCCAGTGACCTGCCATGAAAAGAGCTTGCTCCAAGTAGCTGCTGCCCCTTTGGGCTGAGCCCAGCAGGAACATAAAGGTAATCTAAACCCACCCAGAGCCGGCCTAGACCAACCTCGGCTAAGCCCAATCAGCAGAACTGCAGCCAACATACAGTGTAGACTAAATAAAGAGCACAGAAATCAATGCTTGTTATTTTATGCCACTGAGTTTTAGGATAGCTTACATGGAGCACTGCTGTGGCGACTGTTGACAAATACAGCCAGGAAGGCACTAAGCCAGGATTCAAAACCTAGGCCTGAATGGCTCAAAAACCCACTATTACCTCAACTATGTCAAAGAGTTTTCTCCACTAAATTAATATCCCCACCTCCAGGACGTGCTTAGTACACAGTAGAGATGCAATAAAAGTCTGGTTTATTAATAAGTATAAATATTAATAAATGTGTAATATTTTTAATACATCTTCAACAAGCTACTCATATTACCTTCTCATTCCCATACCATTAAGCCACTGATTCAAAAACATTGCGAAGGACACTATACGGCACTATCTAATTTCTCAAACACGTGATCTAAGACTTTCTTTTCTTATCAGTCCCAGAGCTATACACAGCCAACTCCAAAACAATACCTCCAAATTAACACTTACTTTTATAAATAAGTTGCTACGTGCAAACTCAAAAGGCAACATATTTTTTTTAAATTTCAGCAATATTTGAAAGAGTGAGGCTTTCATACAGATACACACAACAAATATTTATTATACATCTACTGTTTACTAGACGTTATCCTAGGCAGTGAGAATACAAAAAAGGGAAGAATCCCCACCGTCATGGAGCTTACATTACTTACACAGCATAATGGCATTTTCCAAGTGCTTTACATGTATTAACTCACTTATAACCCCTCATAAGCCTGTGAGAGACTATCTCCATTACAGAGATGAGGAAACTAAGGATCAGACTTGCCCAAAGTCACAATACAAGCAGCAGAGCCAGCCAGGAGTCTGAGTCCCTACTTTTGCCCACTGTGCTACACTGCTTTAATAAAGCATTTTTGAGTCAAATAGGATGAATTCACTCACAAAATCGAGCCTACATACAAAAGGGGGAGGTGAGAGAGAAGCATGCGTAATGATCTCTAAGACATACTGAGAAAAATGAGAGTAATAAAAATGCATATTTGTTTCATCGTGGCCAATATCTAATTCATAATTCTGAAATAAAATCTTTTCCATACTGCCAAAATCAGACACACAACACACGCCCTTGTTTTATTTTGTTTAACATTATTTAATTTTTTTTTTAAAGATGAGATACAGTTCCTAGTACAGACTACAAAACAGTTACTATTCATTTGGTATGTATCGATAACCTCAAAGAAAAACTATATGCGGATCCCAATTTTGCCAAATTCTTTTAACAGAAATTTAAAATCAAGGTATTAAAAAAATGATCTGGAGGACCAAAATGGCTTTATACCTGTTTCTCTCCGATGAATAACTAAATTTCTCATTTAAAAAGCTTTGATAAAATAGACACTTTTGGGTGCCAAGAATCATCCACAACTCATATACCCACCTGCCTATCTGACATGCCCACATCTGGATGTCTGACTTCAAGCTCAACACCTCTAAATCAGAACCTAAGCCCCACCCCCAAACCTGCTCTTCCCTCAGTCTTTCATAGCTCAAGAACTGGTGATTCTGTTACTCCAATCAATCGAAACCTCTGAGCTATTCCTAATTTTCCCTCACACCCCATTATCCAAACTACCAGCAAATTCTGTTGGCTCCAAGTCATCAATTATGAAGGATCCAAGCATTTCTAAGTCCGCTTATTCAAGTTTCTCCTCTGCCCCCTAGCTGGTCTCCCTGCTGTCACCATCACCCACAGCCTTTCTCCACACAGAAGCCAGAATGAATCTATTAAAACCCAACTGAGCCCACAGCACTCCCTGGCTTTCCATTTCACTCAACAATATCAGAAATCCCTACCGGGACCCACAGCCCCTTGAGGATAGGGCCCCTCTGCTAACTTTCTAACCTCGCATCTTACTACACTTCCCAAGCATGCTCATGCCTCAGAATCACTGCACTGCTGACCACTCTGCCTGGAATGTTCTTCCTCCCCATCACTCCATTCATGTCTCTGCATTCCCTTCATCTTATAAGAGATTCCTTGACTATAAACACATAGCTACTGTTTATCTGTTTACTCCACCTTTTTTCCCACAGCACTGACTGATCCTAAAGAAAATATTCATTTGTTTATTGTCTGTCTCTGCTATTGCAATGCCTGCTCCATAAGAGCAGAGACATTCAGTTCACCACCCCCACCTGCCTTCTGAAACAATGCCTGGTAAAAGGACCCTACGTGATTACCTGTTAGCCCAGCTTATGATGACAACGTAAACAAACGACAGCAGTGCTTCTCAAACTTTAGCATGCATCAATATCATCTACAGGGCTTGGAAGGCAGACTGCTGGGCTTTAGCCCCAGAGCTGCTGACTCATCTAGTCTGAGGTGGGGCTTGAACATTTTACAAGTTCCTAGGAGGTGTGGATACTATAGTCCTGGGACCACATTTTGACAACCACTGAAGTAGACACTGTTTCGCTCCAACACACGTGTCAACAACTGTAGTTGACCATGACAGTGAATCTCAACTGGTGGAAAAAGGACAGGAATAGAGTAAAAAGGTGCCTCCCCCTGGACCCACAATATAAAAGACATCTCTTCTGACTTAGAGGATTATACAGAACATGTGTCTTTTAAGTAATGCAATATAAACATCATTCCCTGAATAGCATTTTTTTTTTAAAGAATGGGGACCAGGCAGATTAAGGTTATATTCTCTAACACAGTCTCATGCTCTTACCTATTCTATGTTAATGGCTTGTGCTGAATCCTTATCCTTTAGAGTTCAAACAAGCAGATGAGAAGGCTGGTATCTTTTAGGAGATATGAAACACCAAAAAGTAGTAGACTCCAATCGGGACAGCTGCCCAAATCACAATTTACCACACCAAGGAATCATCCAATACCCAGAATAGGTCCAGGGTGGTCACGTCTAGGTTATGTCAGTTAACCCCAGGCCTTACTCGTGGCACACTGGTCCAAAATACATTCTCTCTCCTAAGAATCTGAAGTTTGAAGATAAAATCTGAGAGGCACTGATGCCAAATTATGTTAAGAGCAAGGCTCTCAACAGGGAAGGTCTAAACTCCCACTGCTGAGACTCTCAGAACTGCCCTAGTTCCTGTCTTATATGAAGCTTTGCTCTCCAGCTATTCCTTTAACACTCTGTACCACACCCAATTATCTTCCAACAAACTCTTTCTCTGCCTATGTTATCCAGAACTGTTTACATATTTGCAATCAAAAATACTTACTAAAAAAAAGAGTAAATGTATTAGCTTGTAAGAAAACTATATTAGAAACGCATCTTGTGAAATAGCAACACTTTTTCCCCATTAACTCCCATCTTTTTCCCCATTTACTTCCCCATTTACTTCCCATCTCCAAACTATAATACTATCCATACAATCAATGCAACTTAGAGTACACATCACATTTTTGACCTTACAATACCAACCCCTTCTTGTATTTCCTTTCAGAAAAGTCCTCTGAAACACAGCAAAAAGCCATCAATTTGCCTTTATACATTCAGTAGGTACTGGATACCTATTATGTGCCAATATTATGTGCACTGGGAATATAGCAGTAAATAACAAAAACAGGTTCTTGTTTTAAGTACCTTATATTGTGCTGTGGAGAGATAAGAAAATAAAAAAGAAAAATACCAAATAATAAGTGCTGTTGCAGAGAAATAAAGAGACTTAAGTGAAATAATGAGTAACCAGATTGCTTTTAGATAAAATGGTCAGGAGTCCTCTCTGAAGTGACACTTAAGCTAAAAACTTAATGACAAGAAGAAGCCAGCCGGTTAAGATCAATGCACAGCAAACATAAAGGTACCTGGGCTGGGAACAGACTTAACTTATTCTTAACAGCCAATTTAACTGCAGTATGTAGAGGAAGAGGGAAAATCATTTAAGATGAGGTCAGAAATAAAAAAGACCATATCATGTAGGGCTTTGTAACAAAAGGCAAAGAGTTGGAGCCTTTTATAAATTAATTGTATAGTATAAGGAGGCTATCTGCAACAAGATACGCGGAGAATAGCTGAACAAGGAACTAAGATGAAAAAAATATTATAAATAGTGGTTATGATAAAAATTTTAGCACTGCAAGGAACCTTAGCTGTCATAAAGTCTAGCCTCTCATTTTACTGAAAGGATGACACAGCTTCGCTGAGGTCAGATCAAAGACAAGCACAAAGTTGTACCTGATGCTCTCTGACATTCAGGCCAAAGCTCTTTCCATAATTCCTGCCTCAGTTTGAAATCTAGAACCAAGTCTTTACTTGGTTCTAGACTTCCAAAGTGACACAGCAGCATTCAAATAAAAACATATTTTTTAAAAAAAATTTTTATTAAATTATCCACACCAAGTATTCATGCCTCTAGTCCCTCACATGAAATTTTTTTTAAAAGCAGCTGACAATGCTTAAGTATTTACCATCAGATATATCTCTTCCCAAAGTATGTGAAGCAGGAAAAAAACATTGAATATAAACAAAATATACTTACATCTGGGTATTCTTTTACAGGCACATAAAGTTTCTCTTGTAACTGAACAATAGGTCCCACAGCATCAGGCAATTCTGCACTCCTTTTCTCTGTACTGCCATTTAATGTGTCATTGTACATGTCTTTCCGTACTCTGCTAATTTCTGTTAAAAGTAAAAATTTTAAATGTGTTAGACAAAAAAATATTCTTACTAGCCCAGGAAAAAAAAAAAATAAGAGGGTAGGGGAGGATTTCATTGATAAAGTGTTAAAACTCAAAGAAGAGCTGTTGACCTAGTCTGTCATTCTCTGGATTAAGTCTACATTTAACAGAACTACAGTCTTAATTAATTTCTACCAGAAATCAAATTTATACCAAATAATATATTTTATTAAAAATAACTTCATTGGAAGCACCGAGTCTTAACCACTAGACCGCCAGGGAAGTCCCCAAAATAACTTCAGAGCCCAAGCTTTTATTCACTATGTTACAGACCAGTTATTTTACCTAATTTCTCCATACCTAAAAAAACCCAGTCATTCCAAATGATAGCTTCAGCCAAATAACTATCCTAAGAATGCCTATAAGACAAAACTAATACCAAGGCTTCCTTTATACTTCAGAACTAACCTATCTGAATGAGATTTAAACCAGACCACTTCCTTAGATATTTTAGGTATCTTTGGAATATCCAAACAGAGATGTCCAAGAGATACACAAAATTTAAGTTCAGCAGAAGTCTGAGTCTGATACCCAAATGTATAGGTTAAAGCTATAGGAATAGAAGAGATGTCTTAGAGGGGGTATACGGAGAAGGAAGAACTGAATGACCCTATAGGAAAAGCACCATTTAAGGGATGAGGAAAAGAAAATTCAAAATAAGAAGAAATGGAGGTAGACAGGAGAACCAGGGAAGAGAAGCATCAAAGAAGCTAAAAACGACAGATTCAAGGACAGGGTGATCAACAGTGTCAAATATCACAAAAGTACCGTAAGGTAAAGAGCAAAAGAGGGTACCTAGGATGTGACCACTAAGCCATTGGTGATCCAGAAGTTTTGAGGAAAAGATGGTATGGAGATCAAACTATGAGTTAATGAAAGCAGAGATACCTAAAGTCAATGACCTTTTAAAACAATTTTGACAGTTCCCAGGTATGAATATCACTTCTAAAAAAAAAAATTATGAGAAATCTATCTTAATTGATCAAGTCCTATACAAAGATATCAATTAATTCTTCAAGAGTTCTTTATTAAGCTTCCACGATGTGCTAGAGGATAGGCCCTTGCCCAAAGGAATACACTGTCTAATAAGGGTTGTCATTATTAATTTAGCTGAATGCATCTGTAACCGTCTCTCCATGTTATGGATTACGTCCTCCTTGGGGAAAAAGCTTGTGTCCATTAGTATTTAAAAACAAAATTCCAGGTTTCCCTGGTGGCGTAGTGGCTAAGAATCCGCCTGCCAATGCAGGGGACACGGATTTGATCCCTGGTCCAGGAAGATCCCACATGCCGTGGAGCAACTAAGCCCATGTGCCACAACTACTGAGCCTGTGCTCTAGAGTCCACGAGCCACAAGTACTGAGCCCGCGTGCCACAACTACTGAAGCCCGTGCGCCTAGAGCCCGTGCTCTGCAACAAGAGAAGCCACTGCAACAAGAAGTCTGTGAACCACAACGAAGAGTAGTCCCCGCTGGCCGCAACTACAGAAAAGCCTGCATGCAGCAACAAAGACCCAATGCAGCCCAAAAATGAATGAATTAATTAATTTTTAAAATAAACAAATAATAAAATTCCAAAAGATTTAATTATAAATAAAATTCAGGTAAGATGACTAGGTTAAAGAATATATAAATACACAAAAACCAGTAATTTCATATGGAAGAAAAGATACATTTACCACTTAAGTTGTATTTGTATGCCTTCCAAACACAGAATTTCAATTTATCGCTGTTAAGGAACTATCAAATTTCACACTTTAATTTTCTTAACTAGTTATCTAAATCACTTTCAGTTAAATAAAATCCACTGCAGTAAAAAGGCATGATCAAAGGTGTTCTCACCCAGTTATAAAGACTGTCAATGAAAATACTGCACTACATTTTCTGCTTCAGTGATGGCAATACTCATGTTATAACGAATCTTATCTCCTAACTAACAATTTGCTTGTCAAAGTTTACCAAATGTTTATCTCTGTATAGCAAGTGAACTCTTTTTTTTTAAAAAATCAAAAGAAGGTACCTTGTATTTAACTACATTATAAGGACAAGAGTTGATTCTTTAAGTTCTTTTTTATACTTCTACTCTCATAATAAAATCTTTCTCAAAGATGTCCAGTATCAAATTAGTGTTTATCTTAAATTAGCATATGACAGCAATTCTCAAATCAAATTTCCAATGACCTACAATTTAAATATAAATGATTGTTTACATAATTAAGTAATTACAGCAAGTAGTTAACCAGAGGGCATTAGAAAAATTTAATCTAATTAAAATTGCACATATATCCTTTAGTCAAGGTCTCTATGTAAAGGCACTTTCAACATTAGTTTATTACATTAAAATTTCCTCCTCAAAAACTGCCCAATTCTTATTATGAAGTTAATAACACTCATATAAAAACCTGACAATAGCATAAAAGAAAACCACAGATAAAATTTGCTTGTAGATAGAGATGCAAATATCCTAAGTGAACAAGCTCCACCATCAGCACATTAAAAGAATAATGCACCAAGACAAAGTGGAATTTACAGCATGAATGCAAGAATAATTCAATATTTTAAAAAAATCTTTAAACATAGTAATACAGTAGGTTGAAGAGGAAAAAATGATTTTCAGGTAAACAAAGTTATCAAACTTAGAAAAACCAAGAAATAAGGTTTCTTATTTCTTATAAATAAGAAAATTCAGGTCAGATGACTAGATTTAAAAATAATATACAGGGCTTCCCTGGTGGCGCAGTGGTTGGGAGTCCGCCTGCCGATGCAGGGGACACGGGTTCGTGTCCCAGTCCAGGAGGATCCCACATGCCGTGGAGTGACTGGGCCCGTGAGCCATGGCCGCTGGGCCTGCACGTCTGGAGCCTGTGCTCCGCAGCAGGAGAGGCCACAACAGTGAGAGGCCCGTGTACCGCAAAAAAATAATAATAATAATAATATACAAAACCCAACAACTTCATATAACCCATTAGATGATATAATGGAAGAAAAGATACATTTACCACTTGAGTGGTATTTCTCTAAACATTTTTGTGATTACTTAGTAGCTTAGAGTTCCATGAAATTCTGTTACCTGCTGTATCCCCAGCTCTTACAATAGTGCCTGGAATACAGTGGGTCCTCAACTAATACTCAGTAAATTGGACAGATGGATGGGTGAATGAAGAGAGGAATGAGCTTAGCTACTCTAAGGCAGAAGAACAGTAAGAGGTATGGATTAGAGATGTGAAAGCAGGCATCATCAACTCTGCCACAGATAGGGTATTAAAGTCAAGAGGACAGGAACTCTGACCTGTTTTCTAATGACAGGAGTATGTGAAGTAAAATTACAATGTAATTATATATTCCACTTAAAATTTAAAAATCCTTCTACCGTGTTTCTTTCAGTCTCTAAGATATCACTCAATTTAATAACAGAAAACAAATTACATACAAGACAGTACTGATGGGAATGAAAAGGTGACTAAGACAGTTTGAGTTCTCAAGGAATTTACAATTTTCACTGTAAACTCTAACCAGCTGAGTACTACCTTTATCAACAGCATCTTTCTAGCCAACAAATTGTTAGCACTTCCTGGCACGTTACTTACGACACTAAAGTCAGGACAAGTTCTGATTACAGTTCTAACAGTAACTGTGTGATTTCAGACAAGTCTCCTATTTACCCTCCCTGTGCCTGAACCTCATATGATTGAAGGTTGCTTACTGAATGACTTCACTGAATCCACTGGTTTCCAACCTTAGGAGGCAAAGACTCATTTATTGTTTTCCCCATAACTCCAATGTTTTTTGAAAGTTTTGTCTCCAAAGCTTTTTATTCTTTAAGGCCTGGCAATCAGAGCTTTTGTTAACGTTATCCTAGCCAAAATATTACAGAAACCTGTCACAGGCATGGGCACGCGCAATGCTCTCAATTCCTTCATGAGTGGGGGCTCACAGGTGTGTGTTTATGAAACATAGGAGCGCTTCAAAACTAGTATGTTTTACATATTCTTTTGTTGCATCAAACATTACATGATAATGCTCTAATGTCCCCATCTCCACACTACCTTCATCAAACTACAGCAGTGGTTCAGAGAACTACAAGTTCAGAACCATTTGCTTAATCACATAGTGACAAATTCCTATTACAATAACCCCAAAATATCCCCAATATCAACACAATTTGTTTTAGACATCTCTGAACTGTTCTCAAACGTTACAAATTTTACTGAATTTTACCTTCCCTGAAATTTCTCCCACTCACCCCCTCTCAACACTGCAAAGCTCATCAAAGAGGTTAAATGCCTCCTTCATGTGACAGTCCTACAAATACTTGAAAAGTTCTGTAATCTAAGTGTCCTCTTCTCTAAACTATATGACATAGTTTTATACCCTCCCACTCACTTAGACATAATCCATTTGTCTATGTCTCTCTTAAAATGGAAAACCCTGTAGCACACACATCCTTCCCTGACCACCTATGAGTATGCAGACTGAGGCTGCCTACCTCCGGTCCCAAACACTCCACTTCCACTGCACGTTTAAGAATATCCCCTTACTTCTCTGATGAGCACAGTGCACTGCTGACATGGTAGAGGTAGTAGGGCAACCTTCCACCATTCCATACTTCCAGTGGAAAATTAAAATTCTTTTCATGGTTGTTTTCTACTAGACTAATACCTTCAGACTGATGTGAATCTATCAGTTGACATTCTTTAGGGATGACTATTCTGTGAGTCAAGGATCCAACTAACTGCAATTTCATAGCACACACGTTTCTCTAACCTGGATAATAAAATTCAAGCATACCGTATCAACTATTTGATGACATCTCAAGCTACACTAGAACTGGAACCTTCCTCTGGATCCACCAGAGTTAAACAGGAAATAATCACTTCTGGAATCTACAAGTTGTGCCATCAAGTTGAGAATGTAAGCTTTTCAGCTTCTGAGAGTATTAACC